CTTCTACCGATTTTCGCTTTGCCATTCAGAGGCAGAGGAATGTGTGTTCAAGACGGAAGAGTTTTGTTTAGTTAGAGGGAGAACTGTGCAATATAAATATAATTTTAGGCAACATCATACTTTGTCTTGCTAAATAGCTTAATTTTTAAGGGTTAATGTCCCACCGAAATAATTTTACAATTTACGAAAATAAAATCACAATAAGCTAGAAGCTATGTAAAAGCTTTTATTAATTTAAGAATGTTTTTATTTAATTTTGCATATCATTGCTAATACAAAATTGAGGTACTGGTTTTACATATAAATTGTTATTCAGAAGGTACGTTTTAGTCGAATGAAATAACAGTTTTAAACTCCAAATGTAATGAAGTTTAAATTTTGTGGAAACTGGATCTCTTCAGAGCGCAGCTTAAATCAATCTAATTAAATTGCTTATCAGTTAAATTAATTAATTTTGAACTAAAAATGTAATAATAAAATATAGAAGATAAAAATGATGAAAAAGGGAAAAAAAAACTTATATCATTCACTTGGTTTTCTATTTCTATTATTGCAGGTATGTGCGATAGAATTTCAAGAACAAGCAAAATTATATTATTTTCATACACTTAAAGTTTGATATCCATGGAAAAGTAAAGCCTTACAGTCATTCAATTTTTGGATTACATTCTTTACGGATGAAAGTATATTAAATCTGTATTTTTATTAAAGTATGTGTGAGTGATTACGTGGTCCTTTGCATAGGAAAGAAAGGCGGCAATTAGAGCAACCATATTTTGAATGTATGCAGGCATGCACACAAATATCTGCACTTCATAGTCTGAAAATTTCGAATTTGTGAACTTATGTTTTTACGAATCTGTTGAGTTGTTTAGGTTTTCGTATATTTTTTTCAGCAAAAGATTTCAAATTCTATGTTATCATCTCTAAGTATTTCTCCCTGATACGGAGCGTGCTCAGCAGTCTGACATCCTTATTTTAAAATCTGGATGTTTTAAGATTTTTAGAAAAAAAGATCACAAAATATCGAAAAAATTCAAAGAATAACTTTTAATTTTTGATTACTAAAAAATGAAGTCGCAGAAATATTTATATAAATATACATTGATACTATCTCGAATCTAAGACATGTAGAGTCATTCGATTCATTTGAAGCAGTAGACTTGAATAACAGACTTGAAAAATTACAGGTACTATATTTTTTTTTCCTACATCAGTCTTTAGCAATACGCACTATAAGACTTCTGGGCGTATTGCTTTTATCCCAATAATCCCAATTCTTTTTATCCCAATAAATTTAACCTTGGTAAAGTTGTCAAAATTAAAAGTCATAAAATCAAGTGTAGTGCAAGTTGTCAAATGAAGAAATTCCATTGTTCCACCCAACAGACAAACAAGACAGACATCGTCAGCAACCACACCAATGCGGTGCAAGTGCTGATATAGAGCGTCATGTCCTGTCGAGAGATGAAAATTTGTCATAAAAACTGCACGGAGCATGTCCATTGGGATAGGAGAAAACTCAAGAGTACTTAACACTTTATCATTTGAAAGGAGTTTATACTTTTATTTTAAGAGCTAGTACATTTTCTTCTTTACCTGACATGAAAAATGAGCACTGCCCTCGCCGGGACTCGAACCTGGACCTTTCGAATACGCAGAGCTTCAGAGGCATTCTGAAAGGAGGAAGAAAATACCTTATATACTTCCCCTTTTAAAGCGCAACTGGGATTAAGCGATCCTCTCGCCAAATCCTGGTGGTGAAGAATCTCGTCATCCACCACCACTCGTCATCGTTTAATCTTTTATAAATAGGCGTTTACAGTTCGGGCGCCATTGTATAGACATTAGGTTTTTGTTTTAAAAGCAGAGAGACACGAAGAGACACAATGCCCTCGCCGGGACTCGAACCTGGGACTCTCGAATATGCGCCGAGTGTGCTACCGTTACATCATGAAGGTATGCTGAAAGGAGGGAGGATATACTTTATAGACGACATACGTATAATAAAATTCGTTTCATCTCTGAACTTAAAAAAAAAAAAATATTTTGTTTAAATTTTGTAATTACTTCACTTGAGATGCTACTTTCTGTAAATTCTTTGATTTAGTACAATGTCAGATCTGCCTCATTGTTGGTAAAAGCATTTGAATTTGAAGGTCATTTGAATTGAAAAATTAATATTTCCGAAAAATTGGCTAAATTTGAAAAGATTTGGATAATTTCATGATTAGGTAACAGCAGGCTGGATTGAAATGAGAATTTGAGTTCCTAACGTTACACTATATTCTGTATTCTCATATTTTGTTCTTATTACATATATTTATTATTTTATTTTCCAACAGCAACATTAATCTTTCTCTTTTCATTTCAGCCGAGACAAGTATTAAATAATACCCAAAAGTACCGCGTTTTAGCTCTATATTTTATTTTCGATAATTTATTTCTTTTATTTTTCAACTTCCACAGAGATATTTATTTATTATATTTTATGTTAATAGTGGTGGTAATATTTTATTTTAACGTGCTACGCAGATCGGACGAAAGACTGGCAGTACGAGCAGCTACTTTAGTAAACAAATCGACTGAATATCTCATCAGTATGTGTTTTCACAAAACAGTAATAAGTTACTGTAATTTTTGTAACATTTTTTCTGAAAAGGGGCATTCATTTTTATATGTCAGTGATACCATTATATTTCTTAAAATACAAAAGCAGACATTGTAAAATAATTAGACCTATCTCTATTATTCCACATAATAAGAAATAAACTAAACTAGATCCTACAATGAACCTAGCGAATTCTCGCATAGGCGTGAATAAATTACCAGCACAGAAGAAGGGTGAAAAATAACCCTTTATTAATTCAAACTAATTTAACAGAAGGGCACAGATTTCGTGCGTTACAAAATCACCGACCACTTGCGGTGGGAACTAAAATGTAGAATATAATACAAGTCAAACCTGAAATAAATAGTGCAAGAGCGCACTTATGTTTACACCTAAGAGGTGGACTCACAGAAATCTAACTTGCGTGATACTAATCTGATAAGGCCAAGAGTCTTACTATCGTTTCCGCGAAAAGAAAAACGAAACGGTCGCTTGGCTAGCGAAACAAGCTCTGAATAAACTGAGATATTCACACGTTTAGATAGCACTTCACTTAACTTTAAATTTACATCCTGGCGGGAGAATGTGAGGGGAAGTTGAGAAGTTTAGACCAGGAAATCAAACTTTAAATAAATTTGTTATACAAATTAAGGAAAAACCTACATAACTGCTATTTTGCATAGCTATTTTGATTTTGCTTAGAACTGTGTCTTAAATTGTGCTTTTTAATATTTATTACTTTGTTTACTTTTGAGATTCAAACAATTGTAGTATGGAAAGTAAATTTACTTTACGATATGAGAGAGAAAAACAAACATGTTTTACTTTAATTTTATTTCTTAAATAAAATTTCAATATATTACCATCATTTTGATGAAAATTATTAATGTTATAATGTTCTAAAAAATGTCGACAAATTCACAAATCTCCTAATTAAAAATTTTCTACAGAAACTGAAAAAATAATAATAGAATTTTCAAAAGAGAGATTTTATTAAAATAGAATAAACAATACAATAGTAAAAATAAAATAAGCATTACAATAGTAATAATAAAATTTGCTGTTACAGTTTTTCTTCAGTGGCTTACTTTTCTGGATCCTAAGCATTTTTTTTTTTAAATTTTAGACTGCAATTTTAATTTCTTAAAACTGTATATACAAGCACATAACTACAACAGTGACTTTTATATTTGGGAGGGGAAAATTATTGCAGATTAATTTCTATTTTAGCATTTGAAAAATGATGTATTTTTTTAGCCTTTGCCACGAAAACGTTCAATAGAAAATTCAAATAAGTCATTTTAAAACAGAACACATACATTATATAAATCCAAATAATAATAATAAATAAATAAAACAAAAATTAAAACGAAGATCAATGCTTTTTGATTCTCAGTTTTAGATATTATATATAGCTTTTAAATTTAGATATCTTGGATCGTCAATTGGCAATCGTTATATGCCAGTTGATAACCACTCCATTCACATGAAGAGTTTATTTATAGATTTTCAACATATGTATACCAGGGGTATAAGCTGACAAAGCCCGATTTGTTTCATGCATTGATAATAATGACATTTCTAGGCAAACATTTGCTGTTATAAATGAGTAAAATATTGCTTAAAATGACAAAACATATTATTTAAACATACTATTGAATAAAGGCTTGCAGCCAATGTGTACCTCGTTAAAAAAACAAGCTTTTTGAAAAAGGCTTTAGATAAAAACACATGCAAAATTGATTAAATTATTCAGGTCTCTGTACCATCCTATGTTTACCTTCACATCCAAAAAATGATCTAAATATATTGCAAAAAATATTTGACGAATATATTTTAGCAAGGACTTTTCTCAATTAGTTTCTTCCGAAACTATATTTAAAATTCATATCCAAACACCTTATTAGGTTCGCTGCTTTTTCTGAATACGTTATTAGTATTATTATCTTCTGAAGACGGAATGGCAGATAGATCTAAATAATTTAATAAACTTTTTTGAGTGTTTAGGAAAGACTTTTTAAGATGCTTTTTTTTTGCTGACAAGCCCTCATTAAATATGAACAGGAAAATTTTTTAATAAAATATCTTTTAAAAAATTGTAAGGTTACCTAAGGTTTTAGATTGAAAGCAGAATTCTTAAAATAAATTTATTCCAAGATAATTTGCTTACCGTAATAAAAAGTAACACAAAGTGAATTAAATTTCGCATTTAGAATAAAGTGAATTAGGTTCATTTGAAGATCTGGAGAAGAATGAAAAATCGTCTTTATCCTACTCTCAGGGAAACAAGTACTTTTTTATAAAGAGTTATAGAATTTTATAAATTACAACAATTCTGCCTTTCACGCTTTATTCAATAATAAACCTTACAATTTTTATTATTTTGCAGATCCTCCAAAACCACCTTTTTTGAAAGTATCCAGCACAACTACTTCCACAATTCAAGTTGAATGGGAAATTGAAGACGGGAAGGATACTCCGGTTTCAGGTAATCCTTTAATTTCAAAATTATGATTCATTTTCAAGTCAAAAAGTAGATGATATCTAAAGATAACCGCAAGTGCAGGATATTTGAAGACAATCCTTTCAACAAAAGTACAAAATGTCGCATCTTTCGCTAAAATGTCAGATATTTTATTTATGATATATTCTTATTGAATTGTTATTCCTGTGCAATAATGAGAGTACTGAAATTGGTGAGTCAATTATTACTCGATAACTCTCGTCACGAAAGCTTGTACAGTTTCAATAGCATCACGCAGGCCTATCATCTGCCGAACGGTAAAAGCTGCTGGATGCTGGTGGTTCGATTCTCTGCGAACAAGCTGACTGCACTGCTGTTTTCGTGGTTTTTCCCCATCTGTAACGTGAAAACAAACCAATTTCTCTTACAATGTAATCCACGAGCAAACCTCCTTTTCCACGTGCTGCCTAATGGAGGAGCATGTACTAAATCTTAAAACAAAATATCATCCACAGCCTTCCTTTTATTTGTTTTCTGTTTTAGGAAAAGAAAAGGAAGATTAATCATAAATTTAATTCATAAGATTTCTAACTTTGTGAAGTGTGCGTTGAGCAATGAGCCTCTATTTATTAGATTGGGATATTTCAGTCTAATTTTAATATTCTTTCAGTAAGAACGCTATATAACGACTTAATACTACTAGATGGTGACCATTGCTCTTCTAGAAATGATTCACCGTAGCTGATGCATTTAAAATCGTAATTGCCAATTAGCATTACTGTGACGGGCAAAAGTTGTTTATTTTTTATTTATTTACAAACGCTGTAGAAACATTAGGTATTTTTTTAAAGCAGGAGAGATGGAAAATGAGCAATGCCCTCGCCGGGACAGCACGGAACACTCGAATATGCGCCGAGTGTGCTCACCACTATACCACGAAGGCATGCTAGCAAGGCGGGAGAAATACCTTATAACGCTTTTGTATTTTGTTCATCATAGAAATATTTGTAATGCATTCTGCATTAGCATGATTCATCATCACTGATGATACAGTCAATGAATTTTTTACTTGTCTACTTATTTCATAACTTGGCAATATTCAATAAAACTCTTTTGTTCCCTTCTAGAGAGAGAAAATCGTGTGCAGTTTTCTTTTTCCATATTTTCAGTAAAAAATAAATTAATTTTGTTTATTTCAAATTCTCTCATCAAACATTTGATGTGATTTCTATTGACAATAATTTCTTCTCGTTCTTTCATTTTATTAGTTTTTCCTTAGCACTTAAGATTTTAACAATTTTATCATGAAATGTAATTAATATTTCGATTCCATTTTGAAAGATTTTATAGCATACGAAAGCTTTTCTAGGCATTTTGCGATCCTTGCCGTAAGTATTAAAAAAAAAAAAAAAAAAAACTGAAATTTTTTCAGATTTTAAATTATGTCCAAAGGGGCGTTTTTTTAACGTTTTGAGTGTTACCTTTATTTATTAAATATCCATGTTCTTTGCACTTAAACCATAAAATTCAGTTAAGATTGTTGCTTAATTAAGAGCAATATCGCAAAATAATGTTTAAACTGAAGCATATTTTTAGAATTTCCGATATACACAGTTTCTCGCTCGCTGGAGATAAAAGTATTTTTTTTCTGTACAAACGTTGCCAATTGCTCGCTTTGGAAATCATCCTGGAGTTTGTTAATCAAAAATTCGTTAAAGTTTTACAAAATATGAAATCCATAATAAAACCAAATTTCCAAATTTGGGATTTCCAGATGCCCATATTCGCAGTAGGATTTCGTCATTCAAAATTCGGATGGCTCTTAGTACCGTTGTTTTATCCCAATGCGAGAAATAGACAATCATATATGCGGATTTTTCATTATTTAATTTCTTCAAATATAATGCAGGACTCTAACATTTTGTGGCAACAGTTTGAAAAGTGAACCGACGTTTATGAGTCCGACGCAAAATGCCAAAACGAAAGCAATAGTCCTTCGGGACTGAAATCCCTTTGGACTAAAAATAAATTAATGCCTAGGTATTTCTCCATTTTTATCTCGTAAAAATTAGTTTATTAATATTCCCATGCATTATTTTTTTTTAATTTGTCCAGACATACAATAAATTTTGTTTAAATCTTGCACGTAAGATTTCATATTTTGCTGCTGATTTTAGGCAGTGAGATATTTATCTTATATAATAGATGTGTATACAATAGATATTCAGCAATATGTATGTGTGATATGTATACAATAGCTATTCAACAATACGTACATTCTTTATTACCTTATTAAATACATTATTTCTTTTGCATCATGCATATGCTTTTCAAAATGCATATTGCATTATTTGTAATTGTATACGTTATCAATTTTATTATACATCCAGGTTTTTTATTCTATTTTGATGTAGCTTTTGAGTAAATATATACCGCTGCATGCTGTGAAAATCGTTTTTATTATGACAATGAAATCATAAAGCATAATACTATGATTTTTGGCATTCAGCACACAAATAGTTCAAAGCTTTACAAAAAGATTTGCTCAAATTTTCGCTTCTGTTTGTTATGAAGCAGAAAAAGACTTCCGAAAGCTTTGTTATGTTAATATCTTCGATACTGATTTAGGCTCACGCTGCTGTTCCAGTGTAACAAACACGTAGCGATGTTTGTTTTATATGGAAATGTGAGTTCAACATTTGGAACCCCTTAAACAAGTACGAGAACAGTAATGAGCCATAACATGAATCGAGATGCAGAGGACCTTGGACAAGTGTACATGTGACATAGTGAGTGTGAAACACACATGGCTTTTTTCAGCAACACAATTTTTCTAGCAACCAGCGGCTTTATGTAGTGAGGAAACTCTCTCACCAAGCCATGAATTTAACAGAATTAGGAACTTTAAAAGGAGAACGGGAGAAAAATAAGCGGTGGCAGATGAGAAAGAGGCGTAATTAGCCACAGTACAGCAATTGCACCACTTGGCACAGAGAAATTAAAATTTTATCTTCCACGAGGTACAACAGGAAGCGGATAGTAACAGAGTAAAACCACACATGATGGTGCGTGAAGATTTGGAAATGCGGAAAAACTGTCAGTCAGGTAGGTCATTGAGTCTTCGGGTCATTCAGTGGGTTCCACGATCGCTCATTGACCTATAGACACAATAACGTCTGATAATGATCCAATAACTTTTGCATCCGTTTATTCAGTTTTTGATAAGACGGGGAAGAAGGTGCGTCTCGACGTTTGGCTAGCAATGAAAAATTTCAAGAGACTGTCCATAAGTGCATCTGCAGTACTTACGTACTTACACCTAATGAAACCCTTCCGGGGAAACACTGCAACCAGTTGGGTAGGAATTACCTATAATATTCTATGTCCATATTAAAATATACTCTGTTTATTAGAGCGTTCAGTAATGATCTGTAGTCCAGATCGCTATTAAACGCTCCAGTACTTTCATTTTATTTTGTTTCTTTTGTGAAATGTACGCTATTTATTTAAGAGGTTACTGCGTTTGAAAATATGAATGAAAAAAAAAAAAAAAAAAAAAAAAAAACTAGCGTATTATAAATACTATATGCTTAGCTTGTTTTCTGTGAGATCATTTTAATACAATTCCCAAAGAACAGAACATGTATCTATACGGTTTGCGAATACTTGTCCCCTGAACCAGAACATTTAAAATCAGATCACCTCATGAAAACATCCCATTATAACAGGGGTTCTCAACCTTTTTTTCCCTGGGCATCTGTTTCACTATTGCTAGAAAATCATTCGACCCTCCTTTCCGAAAAACAAAATATATATATTTCTCTTTATTTGTGTGATTTTTCAATCTGTTTTTTAAACAAAACAAAAAATGTAGGGAATGTTGATACATACAAAACTTTAATAAAAGTAATTTTTTATATTCATAAACAGAAAGTAAACACTTAGCAGATAAATAAAATGTTTAATGCATTTTCCCCCTGAAATCATGAAATTTCCCACGAGGGGAGAATTACCTCTGTTGAAAAACGCTGTAATTTCAAGGGTGAATAAGATTTAAAGTTTCATTCCTAAACTTCATTCGCATTTACTGGAAATGAATGGATTATGATATGAATGAACGTATTTAATTATATTAATTACGAGCTCTATGTAAGAATGTTCATTAAATTACCTTTATTAACTATATGAATATTAATAATAAGAAAGCTGCTCAAATGAGATAGTGGTTAAGGGCGCTGACTGCCGTAACTGAGAGGCCGTGTTCGAATCCCGAAAAAGACATGGATGTTTGTAAATGTATAGTGTATATGTGCCATGGGGACACTGTAATTATGCGGAGAGCCGAAAGATGTTGGTAGCAGAAAAGAGGAATACGAGCCCCTTGGACCCGTCCCCACAGGGAGGCTCTTCATCAAAATTGAGTATGGTAATGAGCAAACATCGTACTATCCACCTGTGTGGTGCTAACAGCTCTTGTCAACGACAGGCGCAATCCTGCACTCTATGACACGATGAATTTCGTGGGCTTGGGCTGATGTTGTTGTCAGACAAGTGAGATAACATTCAAATAATAAAAGAGATCTGATATATGTCCTTAGCGATATTTAATTTGTAATGCGAAGTGTAGCTTGTTGCATGTTTAGTTAGAAGCGGAAGAACATTGCTTTATATCAATTGGTAAAAGAAAAACGCAGATTAAAGCAACTGGATTATGCTCTTAGAAACCAACAGATAATTCTTCTATCAAAATGTTACACAGTTTGATTTTCTCATGCACAGAAATAATTAGCCATTTACAAAACGAATTATATCCAAAAATTAAAATAAAATAAAATAAAATAAATAAATAGTTTCTCCTCTAGAATAAATTCCCACTTTCAGTATTGTTACATTTACTTTATAATATTTTATCAAAATATTATTCAGAGCATGCACCTATAAAAATGTACGAGATTTGTTTCATTTTGCATTTATTTCAAATAGAAAAAGCTTATTTTTAATTACTTGCGCAATTTTCTGTTATTCATTTATCTTAATGACTGGAAAGTGTGTAAATTATAAAGAACATAAGAACAATGAACAAAAGATTACGGCGTTCAGCAAATTAGATTTTTAAAAATATATTTCATCAGATTATATTACAATAAACACTGCTTATTAACTATGATCCATAGCAGTGTAGTATGTCTTTTAAGATAGATTAATTATAGATGCTATAAATTGCTTGGAAATAATTATTTAGTCTTAGGCCTCTTTATGTCAAATATTCAGTTAAATTAAAAATATAATTAAATGTTCTATTTGTAATCTCTACTGTTAATACGTATTAAATATGAATATAAGAACTGGTTCTGTAACATGTATTTTCAAAATAAATCCAACGTAACACTAAAGCTGAAATACTATAAAATTAAATATACATATAAATAAATAAATAAATAAATTTAAAAGAAAATCTTAAAATATAAAGGATTGCTTTTAAAACATATATCTCAAATTATCTAAATTATATTCTAATTCATGTTTTCTATCAAAACGTATGTTAAGAGAAATGAAACTAATAGTTTAAAACTAGTGAAATCATTTTGTCTTTTATTACAACATATTTTATTTTAAGCTCATGATATACCATTAATCATAAAAATATTGAAAACAGTTATTGTATTCCATAGGGTATGTCCTTCATTGGAGGGAGCACGGGTTAGAATGGACTGAAGTTCAGCTTCCTGCTGAAAAATCTAATCATAAATTCACAGGCCTCAATTGTGGAGCTCTGTATCAGTTCTATATTACAGCATTTAACAGTATGGGAAAAGGACAACCTAGTGATGTTATTTCAGCTAAAACAGAAGGTTCTGGTAAGATACTTTTTATAAATTTTTAAATACTTTCTAAACGTTTAAATACATTTTATCGATTTTATAGTTTGGTTTCCTTACGAAGGAAAATTTATAAAGGAATCAGAGAAATGAAACTTCTTAAAATAAGCATACATATATGAACTAAAACATAAGGAATATTTTTCTCAAATACTTGTTGTTTATAACTATTCAGAAAGAATGTTCGGTACCGATTTTACTTAAAGCTAGAATAACTTTCTCAGCAATGAGCCTCAGGGCTCCTTTCTTCAGAGGCATAAATAATCAAATTGTTACTTCTTCGCTACTCAAAATTTGATTTTTCGCCCTGAAGAAGATAATCCTGTGACTTATCGCCCTCGAAATCTGTTGAATTTTATTTAAAATCTGTGCCAACCTCAGGTTGCTTTTTTGTCTAATTTTAAATTTATCATTATAATATTTCTTTTCCGGTATAATTTAAGTGTTGTTTAAATTAATATGCTTTGAATAACTGCTAAAATTGTGCACAATTTGTTCTTTTGACAAACGTATTTAAATAATGGCGAAATTTGTTCTATTATTGATTATGTAAAACAATTGTTGAAATATTTTTTGAAATACCAGAGATTCAAATCTTACGCAATAGATGGCAGCACTAAAAGGTATGTATACTGAATGCAAATGCGAAGAAATATGTTACTGCTTTTCCAACAGATGGCAGCACTAATGTTCCTAGACTGCTTTGGAATTTAAAAATGTTGATTTAGCATTACAATAATAATAACAATGAAAGAACAAATTAACTATTTATTATGAATAAATAACCAAGTATTTTCTCCTATAATGCCTTCATAGGAGAAAATATTGGTTCTTCTGTGATGCCTTCATCACTATTTTTTTTTTTTTTTTAAATTTATTTATTTATTTATTTTTTTTTTTTTTAATTTTTTTTATTCAACATATATTTATTTCCTTTCTGGTTGTAAATGCTTCTAAATTTTATTTTAAAAGCATGACGTTTTGAGAAACTCAAATTTCCTTTTTCGATGTTGAATCATAAAAGGATATTCAAAAATTGTTTAAAGCGTTTAATCTTAAACAAAACCTAATAAACATATTATGAATATCAATACTGTATGTATTTGGTGTCACACACCATCCTGTGTCAGTCCATTCTTGAAAAGGCAGTTCCGCTTATTAATAATAAGTTCTAAAATATTAGGGCATACATTTTTTTACCACTGAGGTGAATTCAATATAAAAATAAAACTTATATAAAATTTTATATAAGTTTATATAAAATTTTAATTTTAATTTTCCATACTGATATGTTAATGAGAGAAGACACCAAGCAATTCTGCGCAAAGGTAAATAAAAATAATGCATGGCATTAGGAATTTCTGTCCAAAATTAAAGTAATGCTCATAAAAATGCTCATAAAAAATATAAACTAGATAGATTTTTAAGTAGACACATTTTAAATTGTTAAAAAATTAATACAGATTAAGTGCGATTATTATTAATGTATTTTGTATTATCTTTCTTAAAAAGTTCAATTTATAGGGTGATTACAGATCGTTAAACTTCGAAAATATGCTAAAGACCTTAAGCTTCGCGAAATGGCAACATTTCTGTGCGCTGATTAATCGGACCGTTGCAATGAAAATAAATTAAAGAATTAAATTGTCATGCAATGGCAAGACTTGCTATACTTTCAAAGGAGTACATGAAATGTTAAATGCATGGTAACGTAACTTACGATTTTGGACAAAAAACGAATTTTGAAAAAAAAAAAAAAAATCTTTTTAACAATTCAGCTTTAGAAGATATTAACATCATTGTAATATTATAAATACTTAACAATTTATGCATATAATAATTTAACAATACAAAAAAATAATAACAATAAAATAATTATAAAAGAAACACGATAATCACACTGTCTTACAGTTTGTTTTTGCTTCGTTATAAATGTCAAATAAATGGAGAAATTTGAATGGATAGATGTTGAAGCACAGAATAAAAGGTACACAATGAAGAGAAAACTTGGAAGATGTATTGAGCTATAAGCACAACTGAGGATTAATCGTTACCCCTTCCAGAAAATGTATATTTTTGAGAATCTTTACGATAAAAAAAGAAGCAACAAACAGTAGTCTAACTAGGCCAAGGAGCAGAAGCGAAATGTGATATGTTCAGGACAAAATCTTAATTCAGAGGGATTAGATATCTTAATTCAGATTGGATTTAGATATTTTGTTTGGCTAATGAATAAAGCCTCGAAATTATTATTGGCTGTTCGTGTTTTATTTCTCAAAACGATTTACATCACCAGCTTTAATTAAAAGTCTTATAATATGGATTAATCTGGAAATGACACAGTCCAGAAAAGTTTATTATAAACAATAACTACCTTTAGAATTGAAAGGACAATTACATAAAGACTGTTTCAATTTAATTTAGAATTTTAAAATTTTGATTTAAGCAACTTTTTTATCTTACACACATATCTATACCTATATCTGTCTGTCTGTCTACGTATGTATGCATCTATCTATGTAAATCTATATCTGTCTATCTACCTACCTCTCTCTTTACGCACACATATATATAGACAAAATAGTAAAAAAATTCTTAACAAAAACCACAAAGACAAAAAAGAAATTAAATTTAAAACCAATAATTTCCCTAAATCTCTCAATAAAAAATTCAAAAAATGAAAAAAAAAAAAAAAAAAAAAAAAAAAAAAAACCCATCAAATCAATGCTTTTAAGGCAGAAGAAATCCCTAAAACTACGGTAATACGTAAAAATACATATAATAGGAAAAGGAATACAAGTACATTCTGATTCAACGTTATCAAGGCGTCACTTGGAGGAAACGTCACTTCACAAACCATATAAGACGTCACTTGTAGGAAACATATAGTATATGATTGAATTTTTTCAGTACCATGACCTGGTTACTGCACTGGCTTTCCATATCTTCAGTTCTATAGATTAAAACAGCAAAACGAAAAAAAAGGTGATATTATTTTCGCGAAACGAGAAAACTCCACCTCCATATCAAAATCTTTCATTAATATTTGTGAAGTGATATCTTTCGCGAAATTTCCTTCGGATTTGCTGGCATCCGAAAAGTCTTCTACGGTTTAATTTTAAAAATATCAGTAGCAGTATCTCATGCATGTACTTTGAAGAACATCAACAGATTAGCGGTAAGTCCGTTGAATACTGGTAATTCGTTCAGTTTTCTAATCCGGGCGAACGCCTTAGCTGCAAGTGAATTTCCGTAGATTTTTCTAGAGTGCAAGATAAATACGAGCCTGTTTTCCTTAAAACGTCCCTCATGAATGAATATCTTCCTGTCTGCAGATATTTAATATTCCTCAGTTTGTTTCTAGAAGTTTGACTCGCTGTACTACAACTACTGTATTCGGATATCGCGCAATATGAGTTTGTAAATTTCGGTGAAGTCTGCAAAGTGTTGTCATTGTAAAGTACATTTATAATGTGTACTATTGTAAGTGTAGGTTGCGCTGGAAAATAATTTGAGTATCTTAAATAATGTAAAAATTATATAAATTATGTAATTATATCCCGAACCACAATGACTATATATTACAATGTAAGTTGATGTATTATCTAATGCTAGATATGCAGGGACGCGAGACAATACAACACAACCTGTTTGCAGATTGATGGTCTCTCCATCTCACGTCAACTGTCAACTGCAACTGTAGCCAGATAGCCCTGTAGTGTTTTGTCATTTTGCTTAAGTTATCCTAATCTGTGTGTTTTCTTGCCCAATTTGTGAGGTAGCAATTATAACCAAATATTCGAAGGAAATAAAGTGCTGGCCAAAAAAGAAAATCCGTCTTTCGTCTGGTTACGATTAATAGCAATATTTGCAACCTTAGGGGGGCCCATGCTTCATATTTCAATCATATGTTATTTATTTATTTATTTATTTATTTATTTTTGAATTTTTGAATTTTCCGCTTTTTATATGGTTTTGTTCGTTTTTTTTTACCTTTTCAGAATAGGCGATATATTAAGGTTTGCCTCAACTGTAAATGTTCTTTTACCGCAATAATACCTTTCGAGTAGGAATAACATCATCTTTAATCTTATTCCGGCACTGTATAACTGTTTTACCTGCAATATTATGACTTAAGCAGGGAAATTCAGCTGTGTAAATTATGTGTGTATGTGTGTAATATGTAACAGCATATCATATATGTGGATGCATATACTTTTAATTTTTCTCCTTTAAAAATACTAATACTGGTAATTTTGACGTCATGCTATTATTTTTCCGGTTGAAGCAAGGTCTTAATTAGAGAGGATATTCGCTCAACAATTAATTCTAAAACATGTATTATTTTGAAGTGCTCATATCGATAACCCATTCTTGTACCTACCGATTTACATCTTAAATTCCAAGACGAGAAATGTTTCAGTGCTTCTAGCAGTGGACGAAGCTTTGCGAAAACACATTAATAATAAAGACTGCTTTAAGGGACATATGTGTAAATTGCAATGTAATTGCTTAAAATTAAGACGAATTTTTTTAACCCTTCATACATTGCTTCTTCAGAGTGCTGAAATATTGAAGCGTGATGCAGATTTCATTGATTGATAAATTAGTTGATACTGAAAAAATATTACTCACTAAAATCATTTACTTTAATATGAGCTAATGCGATGCAAATATTCGAAATAAATGTTTTGAAACCACAAACTATACAAAAGATGGCATTTTAAAAGTTTGTTTTATGCTGAAAGCAACGTACTGTTGGCTGACTTTTTTTAAAAATTTCCCCAGGTTTATAATAAATCTTTTAACGAAAAAATGAGATTATCCTTATTTATAATAACAAAATAATTACCGACATAAAAATGTTTATTTAATTAATTATCTTGCTAATGTAAATTATACTAACTATGAATGTCTATCTCTGTAGTATTAAACAAATTTAATTCTGTGATACTTTTCATGAACAGATTGTCTAAATTTCTGCTGAATACAAAACAAGCTAGCCAGTTTTTTAACATCCGAGAGCACACATTTTCATTTCCACTTAGATACCTATGAAAAATATTGTTTTCTGTCTAAAGTGTTGTCAATACATTCTCTTTTATGTTTAGTACATATTCGTACCGTATTTGCAAACTGCAGGGGTTTCTGTGATCGGAATATCTGCTAGAGTGAAGTAGATAATTTCGTTCCTTAATTTTCACCCTCCAAAAAAAGCTTGCACTGTAATCGTCCATTACTGTTTAATTTAATTTGCATAATGTATGAATATCATTATAAAAAGATAGGTTCCCATTTTTGAAAACTAATTTGATAATATTAAAATAAAAATTTAATAAGTTTTTTAAGTTAAAAACTGGAAAAACAGATTCCAAGGTTTTTATTATTATTATTATTATTATTATTATTATTATTATTATTATTACATTAAAAGAGAAATTTAAAAAAAAACCTCCTAAATATAGGATGTTTTATTCGATACTCAAAAAAAAAAAAAAAAAAAAAAAAAAAAAAAATCCCACCATATGAGATTTGCCAACCCACGAGCCATAATATGCATTCCCGCTTGCCTAGTTACAAATAGGCATTTCTTAGCTGATACATTATTGGGTAGTTTTGTAAAAGCCAATTTAAGTGAGGTAATCTCTATAAAGAGGAAGACCTGCCAACTCAATCGGCATAATTTTTGGTTTGACATTTTTATTATATAGATGCTTACATAAGTATTTTATATTATTAAAAAAAAGCTCAGTTTTTTTACTATAAAACTTAAAGTGCAGTTTTCAGAGCCTACGATGAAATCATAAAAATAAGAGTTTAAATATTTAGAGTTTCTTTAGCTGTAAATTAGCAGTTCGACATTATTCCAGTTTTCCATGCAGTAATTATTCTATGCTATTTTTTCGTCTAAACGCTAAATAAGTTAAATAAACAGAAGTGAAAAAAATTGTATTAATCCATTATGAATCAATAAAATTTAGGACAATTATTTTGTTATTGTTATTAATATCCCAGCAAACTGTAATAAAGTGTATGGCTTCCATTATTATATTAAAAAGGATAATGATTGGGACTCGGAAATTTTCAGTCAATTAAAACTGAAAATGAAAACAATTACAAGTGACTTGTGCTGCCATCTAGTGTCATTGTCCAAGACTATTGTTCTACTTTAAAACAGTGCTAACAGGATTTCTAAATAACATGTGGAAACAAACAAGTTAAACGCATATTTTTGAAAATATGTCGGTGGTATCTTAATTTCTTGGATGCAGATTATTCCCAAAACATAAATTAATTACCACATGTCTGAAAATATATTTTCAACGCAGTTGAGTTATAAAATATATATATGCAGCTTATTCGAAGTTTTATGCGTTTTATAATAGTGTTTCCTATGCCAATTAGTCAGGTTTCTGCTTTTCATCAACAGAACATTTAAAATATTTATGTGTAATAAACAGCTTGAGTATCTTCTAGATCTCAGGAAAAGTATAGTGGCGGTAAAAATTAAACTTACAGCTATAATAAGATGGGTTATGCTAATCCAATAAAATTAAGTCCAATGCACCGTCGTTGGTTGGCAACTGAACATTACATTTCCACGTAAGCCGATAGGATTCAGATGTATTACCCCCAAACACGCAAATGTTTGCTCTAGCTCTTTTCACATGTGTAGAAAGGAGTGCAAGTGGCTGCCTAAAATTCTAATTTCAGGCACTATACTAACAGTTGAATAAACTTTACCGTTTGGATGGTGACCTGTGTCGTTGAGAAGATATCTGACATATTATGACAAATAGCATACGATTATAAGAAGAGAAGAAGGGCAAACTCAGACACAGGACATTGTGGAGGCATTAGGTTATTTCGAAGCAGGAGTGGCTGAAAATGTTCAACGCCTTCGCGGGGACTCGAACCACGGGCCTTTCAAATACGCGCCGAGCGTGCTGACCACTACACTACAAAGGCATGCTAACTTAGAGTACTTTAAAAACTACGAAGGTTTAAAATGTACGAAACAAGTTAAAAATTACATCTAAAATTAAGTAAAGTTCATATGTCAAACAATATCAGCAAATATAGGAATTAAACTAAAATTAAAAGTGTGTTTGAAATTACGAAGGCTGAAACGTATGAAAGTAGCTATAAATTAAAGTCATGTACATAGTGTAAAAATCTAGCAAATTAGTTAAAATTCAGAGTAGGTTGGAAACTAAAAACTTTAAAACCTAGAAAAGAAGTTAAAATTTACATCTAAAATTAAATAAAAGTCAGGTATATAATCTGAAAATACATGAAATAAGTTAAAATACTTAATATGTTGAAGATCACTAACGTTGAAAAGAATGAAAAGAGTTAAAAATTACATCCAACATTCAATAATATAACACACAAAAACGCGTGTTTTAGTAATTACACTAGTAAAGTATAGCAAATAAGTTAAAAGTATGGCTAACAAGTATCAGTAATGTAGCAGTTTTGTAGATATTCAGTGATAGGATAAATACAAGTAAGAAAATAATCATCTTCCAAAGAGGTTATACTGTGAACATTTTATTGTATAGTAATTTATGTTTAAAGAAAATCAACCACGTATATGATATATGTTTTTAAGAACTCAATATAAGTAAGTAAGTTCATAAGTGATGACATGGATATAAATGTCTAAATCATCAAATTAAAAAATAGTACTCACTATGATTTGTATTTTTAATAAACTTTTTATTTGGTTTAAAATGTATTGCCTATATGAAACCCATTATATGTAGCAGTATTGTAGATACTTCGGGTTTCCAAAGAAGTTATACTGCTAAAGAAACATTTTATTCTGTACTAATATCTGTTTAAAGAAAATAACTGTATCAGTCACTTAAAACACCTACTTGATATATATCTTTAAGAAATCAATATAAATAAGAAAGTTTACACATTATGATATAACTACTAAATGCTTAAATCACCAAAATAGAAAAGAAAAACCTAAGCACACGTCTTTTTTCTGTAACGTAGCAACTACCCTACTCGATAAGGCTCCCTGTCACCATTTTCAGATAAGCCTCCCTCCCACGCTGACCCTTAGCTCCGGCTTCTGAGGTAGAACTGTCATTTTCGTCTATTGATGTTCATGGAATTTCGCAAATGCATCGCAATTCTCTCAAAGAAGACCATCTTTTAGTTCCATACACTTAACAGACATCTGTAGAGGTTATAATCTTAAAGAGGTGATTTCCAATCTCAGTTTTTATTTTCTTCCTCAAAAATACTGAATGATCACCTATTTGATGTAGCTTCAGTTTTAAAAATAATTTCCTTTATATAAAACTTTATGAAACTTTATTATGATTTCCAAGCAACAAAAGTATTTTATACAAAAATTTGCAATGAAGAGTATTACTTGTCCGAGCTTAACATACATACCATATGAAAAGAATATTTTTATCTGCTGATATTGCAATCTGATTTAAATCGACATTTAAACTAAAATATATGTTTGAAATCAAAATTAAATGGGAAATATAATAAAGGAAAGAGTGACGGAAAAATACAGATCCATTTCACAACTAAATTTGTATAATTTATTTATGATTGCAATATTTTTTTATATTTTAATATTTAATCCTTAAGCAATATTTGGCTCACTCTTATTTTGATTTAGATTTCTTATTTGTGTAGTTTATTTATGACTATAATAACTATTTTATAATTTAATATTTAATCTTTGAGCAATAATTGTCTCACTCTTATTTTGATTATGATTTCTAAATTTTCTCTTGTTTATTTTCGTAATATCATTATAATCATAAAATGAACTACTTACAAATTGACAAATTTCAATACAATTTTTAGTGTTTTAGTGTCTTTTTTAGCTCTTTTCCATTAGTATATTTTACTGTAATATTTTAAGAAGAAACATACGAATTATCTATACATTAACAGATTAACAGATCAAAAATGTATTCTTCTCCGATTGAAAACTTCAGTTGAGCTCTATCCTTAATTACTACTTATTTTTTTTCCGTTTCAAATTTCATGTTATGAAATACACTGCCTGTTTAAATGACCTCAGTTACTAATTTCTTATTTAATATATTAGTTTTTATTGCAGTGGTTTATACGTGTACACTAAATGAAACTGAATATCCTGTTACTTGGTTTAATGAATTTTATTTTCCATTTGCAGTTCCCATTGCAGCCAGCGAGCATGCGTTTATAACCCGCAACGCAACAACATTCATCCTCCGGTTAAGTGCGTGGAAGAATGGTGGCTGCCCTATCATGTTCTTTGCTATCCAGTACAAACAACAGAGACAATCTGAATGGCATGTTTTATCTTCTCGCATTGAGGCAGATGAAGAGTACGCAAAAATTACTGATTTAATTCCAAGCACATGGTATAATATACTCGTCACTGCTCACAACAGTGTAGGTCCAACAGAAGTGGAGTACGTTACATCTACATTAACACTGATGGGTGGTAAGCAAAGTGTTGTTTTACAAGTATGTTACAATATTAACAAAAAATAAAGCAATAAATAAATAAAAAATTGGCGGGAGGCTGTGTGTTACATTTGTTCCAAATGGCCGTAGGACTAGTTGTTAAGATTTTTACTATTTCCTAACTTTTATGTTATTGATGAAGTTATCTTTTTCTTTATTTTACACTTGTTTTGTTATTTTAAAGAGCAAATACTTAGGAAAATTTAGAGAAAAACAAAATGATACTAATAGTAATGTATTAATTGATTATTTCTTAGCATTATTCCTGAATATAACATGGAATGTTTAAATCTTCATGTTCTTCTTTGGTTGATGATACCAAAAATAACAAACATAATTCAATAGTTCAGCACTGACGTTCCGTACAAAAGTAAAATCTATGTACGAATTTCTTAAAGTACCGGGTGATCAAAAAGTCAGTATAATTTTGAAAACTTAATAAATCATGGAATAATTAGATAGAGAGGTAAAAATTGACACACATACTTAGAATGACATGGGTTTTTATTAGAACCGAAAAAAAGTTCAAAAGTATGGGTTGGATTTACCACATCTACTGTTATCGGGCCTTTTTTATTCGAGGAAATGCGTGATTCTGGTTTCGTAACTGCTACCGTGACGGGTGAGAGGTACGACGATATGTTACAGAATCGCATCGTCCCCAGCCTTTCTGATAAACACCTACTGGAACGTATGATTTTTATGCAGGATGGCTCTCCACCCCATATTGCTAGACGCGTGAAAGATCTCTTGAGCGCGTCGCTTGGTGATGATCGTGTGCTCAGCCGCCACTTTCGTCATGCTTGGCCTCCCAGTCCCCAGACCTCAGTCAGTGCGATTATTGGCTTTGGGTTTACCTGAAGTGTATCGTGATCGACCGACATCTCTACGGATGCTGAAAGACAACATCCGACGCCAATGCCTCACCATAACTCCGAATATGCTTTACAGTGCTGTTCACAACATTATTCCTCGACTACAGCTATTGCTGAGGAATGATGGTGAACATATTGAGCATTTCCTGTACAGAACATCATCTTTGCTTTGTCTTAATTTGTTATGCTAATTATTGCTTATCTGATCAGATTATTGCTTTTCTAATAAAACCTCATGTCATTCTAAGTATGTGTGTCAATTTTTACCTCTCTATCTACATTATTCCGTGATTTACTATGTTTTCAAAATTATACTGACTTTTTGATCCCCCATACTTGGATTTTGGTTCTTACCATGTTACGATTAAATTGCTGTTTCAAAAAAAGTGAACGTTTTCTCCTTTCTTTTTAACACCGATATTAAAAATATCCTATAATACTCATTGGTGTATCCTTGTTGATGTGAAAGTGTTCATCAGTTAATGGACTTGTCTATGAATATTTTAAACGTGCTCTAAATGGAACATTTTAAATTCAATGCATCTACTCCAGGCTAACAATAAACGCCAGAAGTGACAATTAATTGTAAAGTCGACCATATAAATAACCACAGCGCCAATGTATTGCAATATACGTATATTTTGTACATCAAAATGCATCGGTGTATGGTAAATACATGAAAATACGCTGGTGTACGATCTGCAAGACTTTTTAAAAGTCTATTAAACGATACACCACTTACTTTTCGTTTTTAATGTTCTTCTTTATTCTGCAATGTACTTTGAATTGAATGCCTTTAATTCAGATTCATCTAGATGAATATATTCAGCAGCTTTCAAATAGCTTAGTTTGTTAATCCACAAGAGGCAGATTCATTTTGAAAGCTAAATATCTTACATTTTGCCGAATGGCAACAGACCCAAACGAAAGTGAAACTATGCATTTTTACTTATACGACATAACATTTTGAGACTAATATCCCCTTTTGTGCTATTAAAAAACTCTTGTAAAATAAATAATTATAATGGAGACGCTGTCGTTAAAAGAAATGCACAAATAAATTAACTCCCTTACCTACAAAATTACAATAAGAAAGCTGATGTTCTATATACGAACAAGGTGGGAAGTATATGCATAGAGACTAGAGCTTAAAAGTTTATGCATAATAATTACGACAGCTCTTCTGCCGAATTCTTGTTAACAAGCATCCAAACTTTACATTATTCAAGGAGAGATACGTAACAGATACAGCACAAGTCAAATATTTTGTTTCTATCTGAATCGAAATACGAATAGCTCAATTAACAAAAGAGCATTCCTGACTGATTATTATAAGTCTAACTAAACAGTAACTGTGCTTTTTGGTTTTTATCAAACTTCAGGTGTACCTCAAATAGTATGCGTACGCTTAAAATCAGGGGAAAAAAACACTATATAATGTATATAAATTATTTAATAGAGCAGAATTATCTCCTAAGAATAGAAAGTAAAGTTGGAAATTTTAAAACTATTTGAGTAAAAAGTACGAGCTAGAGCATGTAAATAAAGTTTAAACTATAAGTAAGTTGAAAAACACGATATAAACATCATGGAATTAAATTTAAGGAAATGTGATAAAACTGTAAAGGACGAAAATTTAGGAGAAACACCTTAATAGAAATTAGAGAACTATTTATTGCCACTGAGCGGAAATTAATTGACTTTTCAAGACGAAAATAAATTTCCTACTAATGAACAATAATTAATAGAATCGAGTTTCAGCGCTTCTATTAATTATTAGATTCAATAATTAATAGAAATATAATTAATAGAAGCGAGCTTCAGTAATTAATGGAAGCGAGTTCATATATTTAAGCGTATTTATATGGAAGACCCAATTGAAAATTATTAAATTAGGAAGATACCGAATCAATCTGATTCCGTATACAAGCAAAGCAAAATCTGAAAGAGATCAGAAAATCAACTACTGAGCATTTGACCAATTTGATTTAAATTACAAGCCAGGTGTAAAGCATTAACTAATTATTTGAGAAACGATTACAGGATTCTTGCCTGAAACGACCGTTCTGTGACATAAACGCTGTGTTCACAGTTAACTTTCGGCCTATAAGTTATGGCCATTATTTTAAGATTCCACAAAAACAAGCAAGAAATGAAAAGTAAATCAATCAATAATGTATTGGTTGGTATTTACAACTTCATCGCTGTTAAATGCCTCGACGGTACAAATCACTGTCTTCGAATAGCTTAAATTTATTTGAGTGGTCCTAAGAGTCATTGCTTCTTTGACATTCACTTCACAAACCTCTCGAGAAGCTTCTGTGGCTTTGGCACCTCGAAATGAAGATGTCGAAAATTCTCTCTTTTGTCGACTTGACACTTCAGTTTAATGACTTGAAAAGAACATAAACTGTATCAACATAAAAAACTAAACACACTATTTTGTACAGCATATAATTTGCTACTGAATAACATAAGACACATTGCAAAACATTTTATTTTTCACGCAAAATTTTCGATTCAAGAAACGCCAGGGGGACAATCCAATAAGTATATATATAAATATATATACATATATGCGTTGAACACTAAACAAATCCTAGAAAACTCACGCAGCTTGATATTCCAACTCTCCGAATGGAACGAAAAGCGAATTACCATTTTTCGTGCGTTTAGCCATTTAGTTTAGTCACTTGGCCTAATGAAAAGAGATGCGAATCCCACCTGCATGCATAACTTCTTCAAGATCACTGCTAATCTGTAGTTTGATTTATTAAGTTTTATGGATAAACTTAGGTTTAATACACAGTTTAAAAGCAAACAAAAAAAGAGTCATTTCGTCTAAGATGCTTTTAAATGCGCAGAAAATTTCTTTAAAATGAGTGCTAATCTAAGGCATTTGAGTAGTTTTAAATCTGTCGTTTTTCATTACATTTGTTATTTGCTAATGCATTTGAGAAACTTCCGATGACTTCTAAAATTTTACTTTGGTATTTTATTCTTTAGTTGTGTATTTTCAGCGAGATTTTATATAGCAAGGACATTAGCATTTGACGTATATGGTTGAGAATGTAATTGTTATGGACAGAAGTGTTATGGATAACGCTAAGCGTCGTAGACATAATATGATGACTACGACGTCTAGCGTTATCTAAAACAGAAATATTTTTCTTCAAGTTATATCAAAATTTAAAAGTTTCTGCTTTTAAAAAGTTGTAATTTTTATCAATCAAAACTTTTTTTTAAATTGTTACATATTTACTTCCTTATACGAAGTAAAGGAAGTATTGTAATCACAAAAAATTCCAGGTATCACATTTCAACGAAATATTTCACATTTCATCGAATATTCATTTTGACTACTATCGAATGCAAGTTAACGATGCTTTTGCATGACATCTGTACGTAAGGACAGAATAAAGACTCTTTTTCCCCTATCCCCAAACGAATTATAAAACTGATTTAAAATGGGTTAAGAAGAGATTTTTATACACGTACGAATTTTATAGAGTACGTATATATATATGTATGTATCTCGAATAACTCCTAGACGAGTAGCCTCAGAACATTGCCATTTTGCACAGAGTATTGCTAACATGTACTTGTGCATCTCTCATTTTGGTTGCAATCCGTCTCACCAAAAGTATATATATATATATATATATATATATATATATATGTTCTGGAGATATTTAAAGCGAACTGGAATGGCTGACGAGGCTGACATCATTTCTTGGAAGCTCCGCCTTTCCAGAGGCTATCAAAGGACTCGCAAAGGAATATCGGGGTCTTTTCTTTAATGTAACGATGCAGTAAACTTCTTACAAAAAGTTCTTAGTAGTTCTTTTTTATTTACTCCAGAGATCTGATTCTTGTAACTGCTATTTCTCCTGAATAATAATAAATGGATCCTGTTTTTTAAACTTATCGTCTGATACATTGAGCTTCGACTACGTCTATGATTCTTGACCAATCTATTTATTCCGGACAAAAGCTGGTACATTATATATATATATATACACCCATTCTGTTACTTGGCTCAGTGACCTCAGTTTTTTTTCATCTTATAGAGTGGTAAATTAGGCATTTTTTTTGCTTTAAAATTGAAAGTTGTTTAAGGGCGGCTAAGAGTGTTTTTGTTTTACCATAGCTGCCATATTTGTTTATATTTGAAACGTAGCAGAATATTGAATTAATTCTTTCTGCGCCTTCAGTGTCTTTTCGCCGAGTGGGACCAAAAGGAAACTTTTTATTTTTGTGCACCGAAAAATCTGCCTTCTTGTACTCTGGCATAATGGCTTGTTTTTGCGTGGTAGCTGTAATTTTTATTGTGAAAATTGTTTTTTTAAATTGTTTTAACTGTATTTCGTGTTTTATGTTTTTCTATATCTTTCAGTTTTTAATGAAGGTATTTTGAGTCTTTAGGTATTTTTGCTTTGCCGTGAAGTGATACCTGAATTAATTGAATGAGAAATATATCTCTAATGAAATTCGAGGAAATAAGTTTAAATGAAATAGAGGAAAAATGCGTATAATTTAATATTCCGTAGAAGGAAGTCATGTAGTGTACACATCAGATTATTTTACGAAATTAATGGACATGAGGAAGGGCTCGAACGCTCAGGGCACCCCATGGGCTAAGCGCCTATTGATTAAGAGCTTTTTAGAAAGCCGTCTCTGATTATTCATCATAAATTAAATGTATGCATTTCTGAAAGAAAAATTTTGAATTAAAACGGCAAGTAAAATATCTTATACCAACCACAGGAAAAGGTTTTTTTATGATGTAAAATATTTTTAAATTACATGATATACTGCAGAAATAATTTTACGGATAAAGTACTCAAATTCTGATTTCTTCGTTTTAATTAATGATGAACTGTATTTTCTTATTCCTTTATTTTATTTTTATTTTGTCTTGTTCATTTGCTAAGCTTTCTAATGTTACATATTTTTGAAAATCTGAAGCGCAGGTTCTGATGTGTCTGCTTTACTGTTGTATATTTCTGTCTATACAAAAATCTCCCAAACCTTAAACAGCTATAAATTAATTTTGAAACAAGTAATACCACACAATCTCTAATCTTAAAGCAAGAATATACGAAAGCATGATATATGTTTATTTATTTTTTTAAGTGCAATATGAATATTTATTTTTTCTCCTCATTTCAGGATCATCTGTGAAATAAAACAAAAATACTGCTGTTGTTATTCCTTCAAGGTTTCTAGAATTCTAGTACAAATCAAGATTTTAATTTAAACTTAAGCAAAGATTTATTTATTTTTCAAACATATTTGTAAGAAATGTGAAGCCTACATCAGAGCTTTGCGATAACGCAGCAGGGATTTTAATCAGGTGAAAGATTCACTTGAAGCCTCGAGCAATTTTTACTCCATAAACAAATTGAAAAATAAAGCGAGAAATATCTCATCCAATGGGCGAGGAGACCCACTGCTGCGTTAAATCTAGAATTTAGTCATATTTCAAATGAAATAATTTACTCGTATTTCAAATGAAGAATTTTAAAATTAATTTATCTTCCTTGGCATGATATTCTTTCAAAACAATTTTAGTGTAATTTGTTTAATGATATTTTCTTTGAGTTTCCTAAATTACTGTTTCTGAATTCTAGGTACAATTGAACCGGAAATAGTGGGAGAAAAGGAACAATTAAGAAAATATAAAAACCTATCGATTATTGTTCCTGTAAGCTGTGCAGTTATCGTCCTAATTGCTGTGTCTGTAGCAGTCTTCTTCCTTGTATGCAAAAAGCGCAGTACACGTTTAACCAATCAGTACGAAGGTAAGTTTAATCTTTACGTCTAATTTAGAAGTTTATTTATCTAATGTTAAGAAAACGGTGTACTGAATACTTTCATTTCAAGCTCTTTCGAGTTATAAAATATTCTGTTTTATACAGCGGAGTTCCATTAAAAATAAAATGATCCAACTCAGGAGTGTGGCTTATAGTCGTGAACTAATAGAAAAATGTACATACAAACATCTGGCAACACAGCAACACGTTCAACAGAGCAGCGCGTATTTAACGATTGAGTATAAAATTAATTGTCATTGGATGAACCCCTGTATAGACAAGACCGTGTACGTAGGAGAAGGAAAGGTTCCACAGACGGCATGTAAACCAGTTTGACTACTGTCTTCGTTTGTCGCTATATCGACGAGGAAGAAGTTCTCATCTCCAGGTCCCGCTGCAAAATCCGCTGTTGTTGAGGAACACGGCGCAAATTTAGAGAACTGGATTAAAGGATTCGTTCTTTGACTTGTCTAGATAATTTGAACTCTGATTTTGCCAGGATTCACTTGCTGCTGATTGATACATATCGCATTTGATCATTGATTTGATTTTGTCGATACAGCAGAAACAGACGTTTGAACTCAAACTTAACCTTCGACCTTCGACACCGGCTCGACAGCTATTTCGCGCATCAGCAGCTGTTTCCCTCTTTGATGTGAGGGAGCCATTCCTGCCCTGGCGAAGCTTTCCTTCCTAACCGTATATATTATTTTGGTAAGGGACTGTAGAAGTTTAGTTGTTGCTGTAAGTCTTTTAAAGAAACATTTCGGGCAAAAGATTTAACTACGACTCAAATTTTAAACTGTGAGTTATCCGATTCTTTGAGGAAAACGGGAACCGAGCTGCAGTATTATTTTGACGTGGCTGAATCCATTGTGCGATAACTGATAATCGCTTTTTTGAAAGTTCATTCTGGAGACTTTATATTGATTAGGTGAACACGGGACAGCCAGGACCTCACACCAAAAGGGAAAGTTACACTTCGGAGTGCTCAGCATATATATGAATGGATTCTGGCAGGCTAATAATGTGTCGAACTTGAAACAATAAAAAAGAGGAAAAGATTAAGGATTATTTCAGGTACTTATGTATTAGAGCAACCACTTTGGCATAGTTTGGCGAATTTTTGCAGAAATAAAGGTTAGTCGGAGGAATTTTCGGTTTGAAACTTGCAATGGATTCGTATACCTAAAGTACTGTTATGCGCGTGGATGACAGAGTTTGGCGACTTTCACTAAGGTAGTTGAGATAATATATAACTATTTTAATTTTAAAATGATAAAGGACCTTTGAAGTGTGGAATATAAAATTCTCTAGACATTGAGGATGGCATTCTGCCGGATAGCGGTACCAACAATAGTTTCACTGATAGTACAGGCAACTATTCTAGTGGTATTGACAGTGACAATGAGATGGGTAAGATCAACACAGAGACTCGTTCTAAGAATTTTTTCTCAGCGTTTGTTAAGTATTGATTTCATTTTAACTGCTTTCACACCTTCAGAACGAAAAAAAAAAAAAAAAAAAAAAAAAAAAAAAAAAAAAAAACTATTGTAGATGGTAGACAGACTACCTGTGGCTTTTCCTGATTTTTGTTTTCTTTAAGTAGGGTAAAAATTAAGGGGGCGGCTTATACACGCGGTTTGTGACGAAAGATTATAAAAATAAAGCATGTTATATAAAACTTCCTCAGCTAATAATTTATTATCATCACAAGGTATTTTATAAATGAATCCTGACACAAGTGGTTTTCTTCTGATGCTTCTCTGCTATTTTTCTTAATTTATGTAAATCTTATGTGTACGTGTATATATCAGATTGCAGGGTCCAGGTGGGTTAACTTCTATCTGGACCCAAACGTAGCAGGAAACTACACAGAACAAGGGTTCAAACCCTTTATTAACTCTTTAAAATTGACAATGCGTCAATTTGACGCTTACAAACTTCGCTTCTACTTGGGCGGTAACTAAAAGTCCGATAATTGAAAATTAAAAGTTGAAATGTTTAACAAGTGATAAACTAATCTACAGGGCTCAGCGAGATCCCAAACTTCAACTCCTTTCTAAGCTAGTGGCAGCAAAGCAATGCAAATTAAGCCACTTGAACCAGCAATAATCAAAAGTACCTCCAGCAGAAACGGCAGCTAGCGCCTAACTCTCTAACTTCCCTTCAAAAATCTCGGTATTTAAACCTTTCCTCCTCAAGGTAAGAATTTGCATCCTTCCACGCGCGCTACCGAATTTAACTATTCTGGCACTGACAATTAGGGGAATGAAGGCTTATAGGAAAGTCAGAACTAAAATTTAAATTATTAGTTAAAATAAATATGAATCCCTACATTTGCCAATGCCAAAATTTAGCAGACTTGGATTAAGGTCCTTAAAGACCTGTTTTAGTAATAAAACCAGTTTCATTTTTTGTATTAACTTTAGAATACTGGCATAGTAATGGAGTGCGGAATGATCCATGATCAGGAGGCGCAAATCGTTTCTACAGGGTTCCGTACTCTCAGGGACTTACCGCCGTTCGCTGAAGAAGTAGTTGTGTGATCCCGAGAAATACCTTTAGGTCGAATCGCGCGGTGGGTAAAATTCTTCGCGTATTCAGTTTTGCATTCTCCTCTCAGGGCCGAGTTCCCGGTTCTCTTCATAAAAGACATCCACTTATTTTTCGCTGTTGCTATTCTTCCTATCCATCTAATTAAAGAACAAGGGGGAATTTATTCATCGCCGGGTTTTGTCATTATGTCCAAAAAGGTAACGAGCTTCGCTCACGGCAGGAGAAACTGTTTCTTTTCCTTAAAAGGCAATTCACGTTCCCTTCTCGAAATGCACCCATTCGCAAAAAGAAATTGCGGAAATTCATGCCGAAGAACTTAGTAAAACTGTTCAAAAACATAATAATACGAACTTTGAAACTGAAAAAGATGTAAATTATTCAATAGCAAGCATTCTCAATAGCCCGAATACTGATTTCATTGACCCTACCTCACCTAGCGAAGTTAAATCAATTATCAAGCAACTTAAAAAACGTAAAGCCAAAGGTTTTGATAATATCTCAAATGAAGCGCTACAAGCACTGCCTAACAGATGTATGGTTCTTTTCACCAATATTTTCAACGCATGCATTCGTCACTGCTATTTTCCCTCACAGTGGAAGCATTCAATCATTATTAATATCCTGAAACCTGGAAAATATCCTAAAATCCCAATAATTATAGAACCATTAGCCTGTTACCTGCTCTCGGCAAAGTATTTGAACGTGTCATCAGTACAAGACTTACTAACCACCTAGAAAAACATGGATCTCATTGATAAGAGCTAATTTGGCTTCCGAAAGGGACATTGTACGTTTCATCTGATACTCCGCCTGATAGAATTTATTGCCCAAGAATTCAGAAAAAGAAATCGAGTAGCAGCATGCTTTCTCGATTTCGAGAAGGCTTTTGACAGAGTCTGGCAGGCTGGCTTACTTCACAAATTATCAAATTTCCTTCTGCCTAATAGCTTCATTAAACTTATCAATTCTTATCTCTATCGACGCACGTTTCAAGTAAAATGAGTTCTCTCATCAAGAAAAACGATTTTCCGGGGCATCCCTCAAGGTTCAGTTTTAGGACCGAAATATTTTAATATTTTCATAAATGACATGCCTGTTCCCACTACACTCAAGTATTTATAAATATGCTTTCCAAGATGCAAGCAAATTCTAGAATCTGGAACCATATTTCTAGAAATCCACAAAATGCTTTTGACAAACTTTAAATGCAAGCTAATCCAATCAATAAATACCGTGAAGATTGGAAAATTAAACTTAACGCAGCTAAATGTTGTATTGTTTTATACCGCAGATACAAGAAAAATTATCCTGTTAACTAAAATATAAAAATAGATAATTCACCAGTTCCTGTAGCAAGCTCATATAAATACTTAGGAGTGTACGTCGACAAAGCTTTAAATTTCAAAGATCATGTCCAGTATACCATCAATAAAGTTAATGCAGCATTCATGTCTCTTTACTCCCTGCTTGGAAGGAAATCTAAAGTAAATCTGAAGCCCAAGAGAAAACGTTACATCATCCTTATCAGACCAATTCTACTTTATGCAGTTCCTGCATGGGCGACTGCTGGAAAAACTGAACGTCAGAACAGAAAATAAACGTCTTACAGAATAAGATTCTTCGAAGCATAAGCCATGCACCTTGGTTTGTGCGTAACGCATAAATTCATAAGGATTTAAGGGTTCTACCGATTCACGATCAAATACTAACTCCTGCACACAACTTCTTTGAAAAAATGATCGCAATACCCGGCTATTAAAGAACTCACAAACTATGATCCCACAGAGGAACATGTAGTAAAAAGACCGCGAACTATCCATCATAATGCATTATGGTGATAGTGCACAGTGTATATATTTTATTCTACTTATTTCACGTAATTTAATACTCTTCATTTAATCAAGTTTTGCTTATGTTTTGGAGTATGCTCTGACAAACTTATGGACTTTGATTGCAACTTATTTTACTTACTTATTATTTCTGTTTAACCAAGAATTTATTTGGTACTGTGTAGTGTTTTATAGCAAATACTTATGACTCTTTCACTCGCTACTGGCCACCTCGCATCACGTGGTGTTTACTCTGCAACTTTAAGGAAATGCAATTTTTAGCATGATTAATTAATTGTACTGAACCCGAAATGTGTTTCTGAAGAATAAGGACATTATTATCTCTTCAAATTCGCATTTTTGAACTTCTACAATCTTATTTTACGCTTTATTCAGCAATTTTATGAAACTTAGGACTTATTTTGCACCGACAAATCCCATAGCTCACTCGAGCACTTTCACTCACTGATGCCCCTTTCTCATCTCGACTGCTGCTGCCATGAATGATACTTGCCTTTTGACTACTACTGACATTCCATTTAACCGCATTTAAAAATTACTATTTACTGAATTTATCTCATTATATTGATCTCGCCTTCG